TATATTTCGAGATAAGATCTTTCTCAAGTCACCTTAAGGCAATTTGCTGAGCCTCATTTTCCCTGTCTCTAAAATGTATGTGTGGATGAGGTTGCTGATACTCTCAATTATTCTGATCCCCCATGAACTTCAGAGCAAGTTGCTTTTTGAGCTTCAACAATCCAGTCATTTTGTTTTATGGATGAGCCCACAGACGATAGGCAGCAGAGGGTTAGGGACTGAAAACCAGGCCTGAATACGGCTTCCCATCAACCACCAGCCCTAGTCCATGAAGTTCTCAGAGTTGCAACTCCATAACTTGGAAGAGGCATTGCTAAGAGACATCTTGAGAAAACTGCACCTCTGTGAACCCCTTTAGACCATAGGATCCATGAGAATAGGCATGGTCCAGACAGGTGCCCAGAAAGTTTTATCAGGCAAACCAAGTGAACGCTCAACAAGCTCAGCCTGAACCTGTGAGGATAGCACATTTTTAGGGCAAAGGGACCAGCCAGTGCAAAGACCCTGAGACTGGACTGTGCGTGGAGTGTTTGAGACTAAAACCCTACAATAACTCCCTGACTTAGGGTTGATTTTTCTCCAACTCCCAATTTTAAATCCCAGAAAATTAAGGCTCAGAGAGGTCAAGCTACTTTACTGGGGTCACACAGTAGCACCTGGGAATGGATCTGAGCCTCTTCTGGTATTGCACATCCACATCTGACTGAGAGACCATGGTCGGGCAGTGGGCAAGGGTGGGGCTGGACATGTTGGGAAAGCAGCCTCATAGATTAGGGAGCAGTGCCTCATCCCCAACTCCAAGTCATGGACCCAGGTCAAAAGAAGAAGTCACCCACATCCTCACTCACAAGCAATTGCTAGGTGGAGCAGCTGGTGAGCTTGAACTGCCGACCTTGCCGTTCAAATGGCTTTGCAGTCTGGTGCATTAACCCACAGCGCCACACCAGGACTCCTATGGCTGACTAGCGTTCCGTTATGTGTATCTATTACATTGTGTTTATTCATTCTTCTGTTGATGCACATTTACTTACGTTGTTTTCACATTTTTTTGTTGTTAAATGTCGTCCAGTTGGTTCCAACTATTAGCAACCCTGTTAGGGTTTCCGAGGAGCTACTGGTAGGTTTGAACTGCTGACCTTGTGGTTAGCAGTCCAGTACTTATCCTAAAGCACCACACCAGGAGTCCTTTCATCCTTTAGCTGTTATGCTAAATGAACATTGATGTACCGGTCTCTCTGTGTTCCAGCTTTCTCTTATTCTGGGTAGGCACCTAGGAGTTGGCCAGCTGGGTCATATGGTCATTCTCTATTCAACTTTCGAGGAACCACCAAATTGTCTTCCATATCAGCTGTATCTTCTTTTCTTTTAAGAGCAGCAATTAAACTGGATCAGGACCTACCTCACTCCAGTATGACCTCATGTTAACCTAATAACACCTGCAAAGATTGTCTCTCCAAACAAGATTACATTCACTGGGAAGTGGGCGGGGGTGAGGAGTGTTTGAGGAGGACAATTAATTAATCATTTGGGGGCAGGGGACACAATTCAACCCCTAACAGTATAGTTCCGGGAGAGCCCTGTACACATAACAGAGTGTAGTCAATGTTGTTCTCCCCAGGACCAGAAGAAGAGCCTCTTCCATCCACACCGACCCTCCATCACGTGGGATGAGGTGGATCCGGCCCTCAGAAGCCAGGATAGGCCTGGCCCTGGTCCTTGGTGTCTTCACCCTCCTCTTCCTCTTCAGTCTGCCTGTTTCACCACCTGTTTCACCACCTGCCTGCCTGGTCCTTGAGGAGCCTTCCCGTATCCCCAAGACCTTGGAGGCCTGGCCCTCACTGACCCGGCACCCGAGACCTGCCCATTGCAAAGCGGATGCCTCAGTGGTCACCCAGCCAAACTTCACAGAGCAGCCATTGCACATACGCAACTTCTTGTTGTACAAGCATTGCCGTGACTTTGAGCTGTTGCAGGATGTGTCCCCCGACAAGTGTGCACCGCCAGTATTCCTGTTGCTGGTGATCAAGTCCTCGCCGGCCAACTATGAGCGGCGCGAGATGGTGCGGCGCACGTGGGGCCGTGAACGCGAGGTGCGGGGCGTTCAGCTTCGCCGGCTCTTCCTGGTGGGGACAGCCTCCAATGAGCTGGAGGCCCTCAAGGTGAATCGGCTGCTAGCACTGGAGGCACGCATGCATGGCGACATCCTGCAGTGGGACTTCCACGACTCCTTCTTCAACCTCACGCTCAAACAGGTGAGTGATGCTGAGCTCCAGGGTCACTTGATGGGGTGGTCCTTCCTGCCCAGATTGCCACTTCCCACTCCTTCTGACTGAGGTACTGTGATCTCTTTTCCTCCTTGATTGGAGGCTAGAAGGAAGGGGTACCAGGGCAAGATTATGACTCCAGGCTTGTGGGGGGTGGTTTATAAATAAGGATGGATCTCGGTGTACAATGACCTATGTTCAAATCTGGGCTATGGAGGTGGTCATGGTGAAGTTAAAAGTACAAATTTCAGAGTCCAGTAGTCACTGGCTTCATTGGGGGTGGGGGTGGGGGGTTGCCGACTGTACCAGGTGACAGGCGACACCAAAATGATTGTATGAAATTTTTGTGTAGTGTTTCAACAGAAATATTATTATGTTTTATAAAAATTTCCCAGTAGTTAGTCCTACCAACAACAATAAAATGTTTCTTAAGCTCAGCGTACATATATCAATATGCCTACAAGGCTAAAACTCTGTGGCATTTTGCTTTTTAATTTAATGTTTTCAGCCTGAGCCCATCACTTCTGCCACTGTGCCAATCCGTCTCGCTAAGGGTCTTCCTCTTTTTCTCTGACTCTTCGCTTCACCAAACATGATATCCTTCTCCAGTGACTGATCCCTCCTGACAACTTGTCTGAATGTGAGAGATGAAGTCCCGCCATCCTGACCTCCAAGAAGCACTTGGGCTATACTTTTTCCAACACAAATCTGTTTGTTCTTTTGACGGTCCATGGTACTTTGAATATTCTCCTCCAACACCATAACTCAATTCTTCTACGGTCTTCCTTATTCACTGTCCAGCTTTTGCTTGCATATGAGGTTATTGAAAATACCATGGCTTGGGTCAGGCACCCTAGTCCTCAAACTGCCATCTTTGCTCTTCAACACTTTAAAAAGGTCTTGTGCAGCAGATTTGCCTAATGCAATATGCCGTTTGATTTCTTGACTGCTGCGTCCATGAGTCCTAGAAAGGTGACAAAATCTGGTGGAAGAAACAGATTTTAAATCACAGAGTTAATTAAGCAGGTCTCAGGTCAGGCAGGGTCAGAAGAAATAGCAGTAAATAAATATAAACATGACAATTTTTGAGTGCTTTGCTTCTTGGAGCATCATCTCCATCAATCCCCAGCAACACCCTGGAGGCAGGTCCGACACTGAGGCCTGTTGGTTACTTGAAAATTGAGGTATAGGAAGGGGCATTGATTACCAAGGTCACCCCCCAGGGATGGATCTACAATCCAGACTGCTAGACTCAGGGACGTATCCTTTTATCCAGCTACCTGGGTTGTGATAGTTCTCTGAGATGCCAAGGCTGATCACCCCAGCTCTGAAACCCCATGTGACCTCCCCACTCCTTTTGCAGGTGCTGTTCCTACAGTGGCAGGAGACACAATGCAGCAATGCCAGCTTCCTGTTCAATGGAGATGATGATGTCTTCGCCCACACTGACAACATAGTTGCCTACCTGCAGGACCATAACCCCAACCAGCACCTCTTCGTGGGACACCTGATTGAAAATGTGGGTCCTATCCGGATTCCCTGGAGCAAATACTATGTACCAAAGGTGTTGAGACAGGAGGAACACTACCCGCCCTATTGTGGGGGCGGTGGCTTCTTGCTGTCTCGCTTCACAGCCACCGCTCTACGCCGGGCTGCCCGTGTCCTGGATCTCTTCCCTATTGATGATGTCTTTCTGGGCATGTGCTTGGAGCATGAGGGCCTGAAGCCCACCAGGCACAGTGGCATCCGCACGGCGGGCGTACAGGCACCGTCACCACACCTGACCTCTTTCGACCCCTGCTTTTATAGGGAGCTGCTTCTGGTACATCGCTTTCTGCCCTATGAGCTGCTGCTCATGTGGAATGCACTGAGTCAGCCTGACCTCGCCTGTGGCAAGCGGACACAGGTATATTGAAGTAATACAAGGGCCTTCAGCCTTCACATCCATTGGAAAGGGCAGCACCTTCCTCCCAGGATGCTAAGAGCTTTGCCCTCCTAAGTGGCCTAGGAAGAAGGAAGGAGTATCAGGGAGAGATTGATGAATGAATAGTCTGCCTAGAAAACTTCTACGCATCATTCAAAACCCTGGATTCCCAGCTAAAGGGACTTCTGAAAATGTTTGGCTCCTTTCAGTGACTGCTGCTAGGGGAAGCAGCTCGGCTGAGGTCCTAGTCACTGCCTTGCCAATGCCATTTGGGTGAAGTGCCCACTTCCCAGGTTCAACCTATGTCACAGTCTAGACACTAAGCAGTGGCCGGCCACTCTCTGGAAATTTGTTAATGGTGGAGGAGTGTTCCATCTACAATTCAAAGGAAACCAAGAACTCCTGAGTTCACGTGGAGTTGAAGTGAAAAACATCCTTCAGCCTGTATAAAAGGGATCCTGTTCTTGGTCCCTGCCCCATCATGGACTCTTTAGGTGGTGGGAGGGGCCTCTGAATGGACCACCTCTTCCTTGCTGCAATTCCAAGTGCTGTAATGGTGGAAGCAGTGGGCAGAGGAGGGAAACTGTCCGTTTTGGGTGGTGGAAGTTCAGAGTCCCCAGTCGGGCCCCACCCTTGTACCTGGGAACCCCAAGAATTCAGGATGTGGCATTGGGGCTGGAGGAGTCTTCACTGGGCCCAAGGCCAGCACACATGATCACACCAGTGCCCAGAAAAGGAAAGGTCCTGAGTTTTCTGGGACTCAGGCTGGCCCCCAGCCCAGCATGTCTAAGGTTGGGGAGGTCCAAGAGCGCTGTTAATCCCCAGCCTCACTTGTCTCAGCAGGTGTGTGGGGTCCAGACATCACTGGAAGTCCAATGAGCACTGGAGAGAATGAGTTCTCAGGGAATAAAGTATTTCATGAACACCTGGTAGTGTAGTGGTTATGAATCGGGCTGCGAACCTCAAGGTCAGCAGTTTGAAACTACCAGCTGATCCGTGGGAGAAAGATGAGGCTTTCTGCTCCCATAAAGATTTACAGCCTCGGAAACCCTGTACAGGGTCACTATGAGTCGGAACTCACTCCACATTACGTAACCACCACCAATGTGGTGCTGAGGGTTAATGTGCTGAACAGCCAGGTTGGTTTGAACTGCAGCGTTCATGGTTCAAGCTCACTAGCCCCTACTCACAAACCCTATACAGGGTTGCTGTGAGTCGGAACTGACTCAATGGCACTTAACAACAACAGTGGAGTTCCAGAGTCCTGGTGTGGCGCTGTAGAATAAGCACTTGACTGCAGTACCGGTTTGAACCTCAAGGTCAGCGGTTCAAATTCACCAGCTGCCCTTCAGAACCCTATACTGGGTCCCCTCTATGGCTTCCCATTGCCCTCAGTCCATGTCTCCAAGACTGATTCTCACTAGCAGCTTGATGGGAGGCACATAGATGAAAGACTGGGGGACACTGCGCCTGTCTGAGGGGTTACTTGGCCCACACGGCTTCCTGCTCCCCATCTCAGGTTGAAGGGAGGGCACAATGGGGGGAAGAGTTGGGACTGGTACAGTACACATCACTGTGATTGCTAGTCTGGGTTCAAATCCTGTGCTCGCTCACTCCTTCCCTCCCTGTCTGATATAGGCAAGTGACTATCCTCCTTTAGGCCTCAGTTTCCCCATTTTATATTAGGATGATGCTCACGTTGTTATCAAGTTCCTGAAAGCATCAGCGAAAAAGCAAGAAGCAGTTTTGGATTCTGCAACGGGTTTATTTTGTCACTACTAGAGAGAGAAAGTGGGAGGAAACTCAAAGCCATATTGGGGTGTTGGTTTTTTCTTCCAGCTGGTTTCACAGAGAATAGATTGTACCCCATCCCAGAGGGGATGCCTCCCAAGACCCGAGATTTTATGGTAGGTGCTGTGTGGCTTGTGCAGCAGATTTGCCTAATGCAATGTGTTGTTTAATTGAAGGGGAGGCTCATCAAACCTCTCTGGGCCTCAGGCTCCCGCAGGTCTGGCCTAAGAAGGAGTCAGTGGGGGCAGAGTGCTGGAAGGTTTTGTTGAGCGCAACCACTGAGGCAGTATCGGTGGGCAGGGTTGTTGGCTGTGGCCCTCCGGTGTCGATGATGATGGAGAGAGGCCTGGGGCAGGGTCTGTGGGCCAGGTGCCAGCATGAGTTCCCCATCGGCCATCAACCCTTGAAGGAGATGTCCCTCCAGCCATTTCAGCAGCTCACCTGGGGACAGAGTGGGATTCAGTGGGGATGGGGAAACCCTGAAGGATCCCCTCCCTAGATACATAAACACACCTACAAGTTCCTGTCCCACCAAGTGACCCACCACACACACTGACTATGCGCACACGTATAAGCAGCGAGCATCCATTCAATATCTCCATCACTGACCCACATCTCCAGCTGACCCAGGCCTGGCCCAAATCCTAGGCAGGGGAGGAGGTTGGTGGTCCCGGAGCTGCAGTCAATAGGTGCCCAGACCCCATTAAAGGCAGAACACAGCAGGAATGGCATGTAACACACCCTTGTGAGTACACACTCTTGCAGATCCTTTCTGACACCCATCCTGACATGCACCTCTGAAGGCCTGCTCACATGGTGGCCTTCAGATGCCCCCGGACACAGGTGTGTCAGTGTGTGCATGCACGCCTATTGCACACAACCTACACCAAGGCCAGGAGGTGGGGGAGGCAAAATTTAAGGGTGTGCCCCAAAACTCAGCCAGCAAGATTATGATTTGAATGCAATGATTTTTAAAAATTAAACTGCAAAAATGCACTGTCTTAGTTCCCTAGTCATGTTACAGAAACACCACAGTGGATGACTTCAATGAACAGAACTTTTTCTTGCCTTTCTCCCAGGACAATGGAAGTCTGAGTTCAGGCTCTCAGTCTGGTTCTTGGGGAAGTTCCTTGTCTCTTTTCAACATCTGTTCTTTGATTTCTTGGTGATCTTTATGTGATCTGGCATCAACCCCCACCATCATCTCCGCTTGCTTCTCTGTGCCTATCTATTGTTAAATGCCATGGAGTCAGTTCCAACTCATAGTGACCTTATATAAGATCTCCAAGGTGGGGCTAGTGAGTTTGAACTGCCGACCTCCTTGCAGTTCAACCTTGAGTCCAGCGCATTATCCTGCTGCCTCCCCCACCCCCACCCCCACCCCTACTGACGCTCCCTGTACCTGTCTGCTCCCTGTATATCTTAAAGGTGATTCAATTAAGGACACACCCTACACTAATGTGCTTCATTAACATAACAAAGGAACCATTCACAAACAGGATTATACCCTAGTTTCTTAGTGTGGTGCAGTAAGATAAGCACTGAACAGCGCTACACTAGGTTCAAACCCACCAGCCTCTCTTGTTTTGTTGGTAAATGCCGTTGAGTCTATTCTGATTCATTTGTTGTTAAGTGCTGTGAAGTCAATTCTGACCCATAGCGACCCTGTATATGGTTTCCAAGGAGCAGCTGGTGAGCTTGAACCACCAGCCTTGCAGTTCAAATGACTTTGCTGTCTGGCGCATTAGCCCACAGCGCCCTTTATTATGGTTTCTGAGGAGTGACTGGTGAGTTTGAACTGCCAGCCTTGCAGTTCAAACCGACCTTATGATCCAGTGCTTATCCTACAGTGCCACACCAGGACTCTTTGAGGAAATGATCCGGGGATAGCTATGAGTGAGAACTGATTTGACTGCACTTTAAAAAGGAAGGGAGCCCTGGTGTGGTGGCGATTAAGAGCTCAGCTGCTGACAGAAAGGTGGTCAGTTGGAGCTCACCAGCAGCTCCAAGAACAAAGATGTGGCAGTCTGCTGCCATGAAGATTTACAGCCTTGGAAACCTTTGGGGGCAGTTCTCTGCCCTACAGATCTCTATAAGTCCGAATCAACTCCGTAGTAACAGGATTGATAATGGGGCAGGAGAACAGTCCACAACAACCACTAAGATTAAAATATGTTGTTGTTAAGTGCCTTCGAGTCGGTTCAATATATAAGCCTTTAAAATAGAGTCCCACTAAGCTTGTGTCACCCTGAGTGCAAGCCAGCAGGAGCCTGTCCCCGAACGCAGGTGATACCATTCCTCAACCCCTTGTGAGCATGTGCGCCTGTCCCCATGCACCCCAACTCACGGTCACCACGGGTCACTGACTGCCTGGCTCCCGAGGACCAGCGCGGGGGGGGGGGGCCCCCACACACTCGCACCAGCATGCGCACGAAGTCGACGCCGCACAGCTGCTCTGGTGGTGGCTCAGGATCCCCTGGCAGGAGCAGCGCTGGGCCCAGCAGCACCAATGCCCAGGCAGGTAGGTAGGGGTCCATGGTGCCAAGAGAGCTCCAGACTCCTGTTTATAAGCGCCTAGACCCTCCCAACTGGGAGCCTTGGGAGAGGGACGGAGCATTTCAGAAGGTCAAGGGCTAGGTCAGATGGAGGAGTATGTCTCTTTAGTCCAAAGACCTTGGTTGTGATTCCCCCACGGAACAGTGGGTGAGGAGTTTGCATTTTGGAAGCATTTTAAAGAAGTAAAATCTAGAAATGAACATCCTGGCGTTCACAGGCCAGTGAAGTTCAGAAAAGTTCTTATGATTTGACAGATAAGGAAGCTGAGGTCCAGACAGGGAGTCTCAGATTCCCCTAAAACCTCTAGCCCTGACTCTGGCTGGGTAGTACTAGAGGCCCGAAGTAGGGCCTTCTGGGACGGGCTGTGGTTGGGGGTGAGAATAAAGTCCAGGGTTTGCTTAGCATCTGCCAGGCTTGTGCCTACTGGGTCTTATGACCCTGTTTGACCAAAAAGGAAAATGGAAACTGGGAGACAGAAGGGTCAGCTTGAGGCAGGGACCCTTCCACCGAATCAGCTGGTCTTTCCACAGAGATCTCTGTCTCAATCTCTTATTCCATTCCCTCCCCCTACCCCACCACCACCTCTGGACACTTTGTCTCTCTCCCTCTGCTCTTTATCTATCACGTGGTCTCTTTCTCTCTCTCTCTCTCAGTCTTTCTGTCTCCCTCCCTACTCCTACCTCTCTCTCCCTCTGCTCTTTATCTATCACGTAGTCTCTTTCTTTCTCTCTCTCTCTCTCTCTCTCTCAGTCTTTCTGTCTCCCTCCCTACTCCTACCTCTCTCTCACTCTTTCTAGGTCTCTGTCTGTATCTTGCTCATCTGTCTTCATAACCCTCATCCCTCTTCTCTCTGCCACTTAAGGGTCTCTATTCTTTTCATTCCCTATCTCTGTCATCTTTCCAGTTACCAGCAGTCCTGAGATGGACATTTCTGAGGGGTCCTGGCCTAGTCCCTACTGACTACTCTCCTCACAGCCTCAACTCACCATCAACCTTGCCCCAGAACAGCCTGTTCTCTCCACCCACCAAGAGCTTGTAATCAGCTCCCCCAAGACTGAGCCAAGGCCAGCAGCTGGGCTGGAGAGGTGGGGGCGGGGGGGCTTAGGGGAGACGACAGGATCCAGCTGTCTCTAGGGATCCTCCTCCTCCAGTTTGCCTGAAGGTCCCATGGTAGCCACTGAGGAGTCTAAGTGCTGGGGACAGCATACACAGACCCTGGGTTGATTAGTGGCAGCCCCATTAAACCACCTCTGAATAGAATCAGTTTAACCCAGATGCTCTTCTTCCTCATGAAAGTATATAGGAATGTGATAATTAAGAACAATGTAACATTTTAGAAGCCTGGTGCCTGAGATCTTGCTCACAAACAAGAGTTTGCAAAGTGTTCAGAGACAGCTTGGCTGCTTTCAGGAACCTTGCTTTATGTTAAGTATCTTTAAGAAACCGCACATCACTGCTCTAGATCACTTAAGCCTAAAAGTTAATATATAGCAGCTTGATTGAACCTTTTTTTTTGTAAAAATAAAAATGTTAGATTGTTAAGAAAAATTATGAAAATATTTTAAAAGTTGTTCCTGTGAATCCTGTTTTGAATGATTAATCACATTTCAGTACAGTAAGCTGTCTTAGCTAAATAACTACATCCTCCCTTTGTGAATTACATCCTCCCCTTGTGAATTACATCCTTCCTTTGTAACAAATCCCTCCCTAAGAAAAGCAAATAAAAGACGGAGGTAGTTAGATCTGTGTGCAATGCTGTGCCATGCTGGGCAATGCTAGGCAAAACGTTTGCAGATCTGTCTACCTGCCAGCTTGCATCATATCTGTGTGTCTGTCTTTTTTGTAATATTTGTCTCTCTTTCTCTATCCCTTTCGCCGCCAGATCTCCCTTCTTCGTGACACCCACACTCCCTTGTCGAGGCTGGACCCCGACATAGGACCTCGACAGCTAACCACAAGACCCTCCCAGCTCACATACCCTATTGCCAACAAGCCCAGCTTTTTCATTGAATTTGTTCATTCATTCAACAAACAATCCCAGCCCAGCTCTGTGCCCACCCTGCCCTTACAGAGCCCCCAGGCAGAGGGAGGAAGAACTGAACACAGACACCTTCAGACTTGGATCCAGCCTGGACTGGAAGAAAGAACAGGGCTGGAATTGAAGAGACCAAGGAAGGTTGGAGGGAGGTGGTCACTTTGAAAGGATGAAAGAGTTTTCCCCAGAGGCAAAAGTGGCAGAAAAAGGTAGAAGGCAGGTGGAGAAAGAATAGTGGGAACTTGGCCTGGTCCAAGGACTGGCCCTGCATGTTGTTGTTGTTATGTGCTGTGGAGTCGGTTCCGACTCATAGCGACCCTATGCAGGGTTTCTGAGGCTGTAAATCTTTACGGGAGCAGAAAGCCTCATCTTTCTCCCGTAGAAGAGCTGGTAGTTTCAAACTGCTGACCTTGCGGTTCGCAGCCTAATTCGTAACCACTACACTACCAGAGGCACTGCATAAGCCACCTCAAATGCCTCAAGGCTCTGCCCAGCTAGGGCACCTACATGTTGTTGTTGTTAGGTGGTGTTGAATCAGTGCCAACTCCTGTACAACATAAGGAAAAGCTGCCTAGTCCTGTGCCAACCTCACAATTGTTGTTACACTTGAGCCCATTGTTGCTGCCACTGTGCCAATCCATCTCATTGGGGGTCTTCCTCAATTTCACTGACCCTAAACTTGACCAAATATGTTGTTGTTCTTCATATAGTCCAGCTTCTCAGATTATTTGATCAGCATACAGATTGAATAAGTATGGTGAAAGAATTCAACCTGGGAGCATATACCATTCGGTGTCCCCTTATTCGTTCTAACAACTGCCTCTTGGTCTAGGAACAGGTTATAAGTTCCATGTTCCAATTATTAATGGAGGTTTGCAGTAATTTCTTCTCATTTCGAGTTGTACCGCATCAGCAAATGAAGGTGCCAGAAAACTTTACTCCATTTGCATTATCATGGGCAGCTTTGCTTTCAGGAGGCAGCTCTTCCCCAGTTGTGTTTTGAGTATCTTCCATCCTGAAGGGCTTGTCTTCTAGTACTATAGCTGACAATATTCTGATGCTATTTATAATGATTTACTCTTCAGGCATGATACTGACAATGTTTCACTGCTATTCATAAGGTTTTCAGTGGTTAACCATTCAGAAATAGTCTGCCTTTCCTTCTTATTCTTACTCTGGAAGCTCTGCCGAAACCTGTCCACCACGGGCATTTTAAATGCTGTTGAGATTTTAAATGCCAGTGACATCACTTCCGGAATCACAGCAACGTGCAAGCCACCACAATACGCAAAACTGACGAATGGTGGCTTGCTCTACCCATTTTACAGGTGGTAGAACTGAGACCCAGAAAGGGAGAGCAACTCCCCGACCACTGCACAGTGCAAGAATGGCAGACCAGTGAGCTCTAGCATCTGAGCACTTAATCTCTGTACTCTGCGTGCTCACCCTCAACATGCTATTCCCTCTGATGGATATGCCTTTCCCTCCTTCAATTGCCTGAAAAGCTCTTATCAGGCTTCTTTGTGATCCTGAGGGTCAGGACAAAAAGAACTATATAGGTGAGGGAATTGAAGCCCAGGACTTTTAGGTGCAATCAACAACACCCCAGCCACTTGCCCCTTTATACCCACTCAAACCAACACGAAAAAGTGAATTTCCAACTGAGGCAGCTACTCTTCTGGATTTCCTCAAGCAAATCTGAGATGGGGAGGGAGGGCAGAGCCTGGAGTCACACCTTTAAAGCTACATTCATGTCATGTTGTGCATTGAATTGCGTTCCCCAAAATATGTGTTGTAAATCCTTACCTGTATGCCTTGGTTGGAGTCCTGGTGTGGCTGTGTGGGTTATTGCGCTGAACTGCAAGGTCGGCTTGAACCGCAAGGTTGGCAGTTCAAGCTCACCAGCTGCTCCGTGGAGACCCTTGACAGGGTCACTATGAGTCAGTATTGACTTGATGGCAACTACCAACAACAACGCCTTGGCACTCTAGTCGGCACTCCAGTAGCGTAGGTTACACGTCAGGCTGCTAACCTCAGGGTCAGTAGTTCAAAACTACCAACTGTTTCATGGGAGAAAAATGAGACTTTCTACTCCTGTAAAGATTAACTCTGGTAGTGTAGTGGTTACAAATTGGGCTGCGAACCTTAAGGTCAGCGGTTCGAAACTACCAGCTGCTCCGCGGGAGAAAGATGAGGCGCTCTGCTCCCGTAAAGATTTACACCCTCGGAAACCCTGTTCAGGGTTGCTATGGGTCGGAACCGACTCGACGGCACTTAACAACAACAACAACAACAAACATTAACAGCCTCAGAATCCCTATACAGGATCACTATGAGTCAGAGCCAGCTCCACAGCACATAACCATCACCACCACCATGCCTTGGTTGGAGTCCTGGCATGGCATTGTAGGATAAGCACTGGACCGCAAAGTCAGTTTGAACTGCAAGGTTGGTGGTTCAAATCCATCATCCACTCCTTGGAAGCCCTATGCTGGGTCGCTATGAGTCAGAACCATCTCAATGGCACTTAACAGCAGCAATGCCAACAATGCCTAGGTTATAATCCCATTTGAAAAAGGGTTGTTTTGTTATATTCATGAAGCAGGATTAGTATAGAGTGTGTCCTGAGTCAATCTTTCTCTTTGTTTTTAAGGAAGGTGATAGTATATATACATTTTAAAATTTCATAGCCAATAAATGATTCCAGTCATATTAAAAGTCATCATTGACATTTTTATTTCATGTACAAAGGGTTGGCATCGTTTTTGTTAGGTAGATGTGTCTTGGATAATCCATACAAAGGTGATCACTTTGTCTGACTAGATGAAGCCTAGATCCCTGCTCGTACTGACGGAAACACTGGCAGTACATATAGAGGCCGTATTTCCGGATCAGACAGAGCCGGTATGAATACACTAGGCAAGAGTGGGAACCCTGGCCAAATTCTCGTGGGCAACTTCAGAAGAGTTGCTGGTGGCCCCTCTCACTTTGAGGAATGCACCAAGGCAAGTCGATCCCTTTTGAGAGATTAAACAAGCAAGCAGAGATGGGGGACAAGTGCTGCTAAGCCACATGGAGCACTCCAAGGAACCAGGAAATGAGCTAAAGAGACAAGGACCTTCCTCCAGAGATGACAAAGACAGAAAGCCTTGCCCTAGAGCCACCACCTTGAATTCAGACTTCCAGTCTCCTAAACCATCAGAGAATAAGTCTGTTTGTTACAGTCCCTCCCCCCTGCCCCTCCACTTCGTGGCATGTCTGTTACAGCATCCATCACTACACAGCTAAGACTGTAAATGCAGAGCCAGGTGGTAGGGGACTGAAAAATAGGAGGGACTTAAATCTGGATCCTTGCTTCCGTGCTGAGTGGGCTTGGGAATTCCCACCAATAATTTGTCTTGAATCTTTACTAGTTCTAATAATCACAAGATCCCTCTTGCTCCTCAAGGCAGAGGCACCTCCAAAATGTAATGTTGTTTGCTCCATGGGGGTCTCTAGGAAGCAGGGGCCACCCTTGGAAGTATTTGAGTCCCTGAGAAGGTAGCTCCCTGCCAGAGGTCACAAAACCCAGCAGTGGAGACTGAACTTCAGAGGTCTGTGGGCAGAAGAGCTTGTCCTCAGGATGAACCAGGAAGCCAGTGTCCCCTGCCCCTGGTTACTACCCACTGCTTGCACTCCACAGCAAATCTAGCTGGGGGCCCAGGGTGTTAAAGGACGGTCGGTCCTGTGGACTGGGTGCCCAGCACAATTTCATGAGCTCATGAACCTGGAGGGAGAAGCAAAAAGTCACGTTCAAGCAGTAAGCAGAAAGTGAATGAATCCCATCTGTACTTTGAAAACATAAATGAGATCTCTCTTTCCCCTGCTCTACACCCTCTTATGATTCCCTATGGCTCTGGCTCTTAAAATCCCAACTCCTCTTTTGTCGTCCTCCTAATACCACCTTCTTCCATGCTCTCTAGCAAGTTCTACTGTAGCCACACTTGCCTCTGTCTGGCTGTTACTTAAACACACCGAATGTATTCCTACCCCAGGGCCTTTGCACCTGCTAGCCCCTCCTCCAGAAATGTCCTCTCCCAGCTCTTCCCATGGATGACTCTTCCTTCTCCTTCAAGTTCTACCTCAGATATTGTTGTTAGGTGCCGTCAAGTTGATTCCAACTCATAGCAACCATATGCACAACCAAACGAAACCTTGTCTAGTCCTGTGCCATCCTCACAATTGTTAAGTGTGAGCCCATTGTTGCTGCCACTATGGCAATCCATCTATCTTATTGGGGGTCTTCCTCTTTTTCACTGACTGCTATTTCCATGAGCACTGATTATGGATCCCAGCAAACTGAAACCTTTGACAACTTCAATCTTTTTCCCATTTATCATGATGTTATTTATTGATCCTGTTGTGAGGATTTTAGGTTTTTTTATGTTACCCCTAACGGAAAGCACCCCTCCATCTCATTTTCTGTCACTTCCCCTGTTCATCCCTTCAAGACTGGAAAATTCTTTTCAGTTCTTGCATTGCTGACTAATCGAAGAGAAATGTTGTCACATTCATTGTCAAAAA